GACGGAAAGGTCTGTCACCGCCCCGTTCTGCATGCTGCAGCGAAGTGTACCTCGGTAGAGGAGCCAAATGGCTGGCTCACTGCTGCCAACTAGTGGTCAGAGGCTGAACTACAACATAAAAATGAACGGCTGGCAGGAAAGTTGACATTTTAAACCTTAATAAAAAAAATCGATACAGGGCTTTAGAATATCGATACAGTATCGGGAAATGAAATATCGCGATATTTCAGTGTATCGATATTTTCTTACACCCCTAAAGCTGAGGCTGCAGCCAAAATCACTCAAACATGGTTTTGTTGCCCAAATCATATTTTTTATGACACTCTAAATGTGACAAATGAGATGTTTTTCAAATCCGATACAGGGACACGTTTATGATATCTGACTTTTTTGTCACGAAACAATTAAAGGAGGAAATTCCGTCTCACCTTTTTACCATCCGGCAGCATTGGCACCCCATTTGGCCAGACGTGTCGTTACGCTGTGGAGACACATTAACACAGCTGGTTAACTTGAATCAAACACAAACTCGAGCACCAAAAACCTACAAACTTTTTTTTTACTGCTCATCCAGGAAATGTTTCAGAGTCAAAGAATGTTACTGATCAGAGGTCAAAACCTCTCACAAGAAAATCCAGATTCTTCAGAGCCCATTTCACCTCATCAGTCAGGTTTTCACCCTTGACTGTTGAGGATGAAACTGTGTCTGCCTGAAGCTCAGATGAAGACGTCATTGCCATTCATCACCATTGTTTGTGTGTGTGCATGTGCGTGTGTTCTGAGGAAAGCTTATGTATGTGCAGGATGGGAGTGACCTTTTCTCTCCTGGTGGTGTGCTTCACTAGGCTCTGGCATTTCATTGCCTCAGTAAATAATTAATCACTGACTTTTGTATGAGTTTTGTCTCAAAGTAAAGCAGGAGAAGAAGAGAGAGAGGCTGGCACAAGCGGAGGACACAGTGTCTTTTAATAAAGAATTAATGGAAGCACATCTGCAGAACAGATCAAACTCCTTTTTTAACTCTCCAGTTCTTTAAAATCGTGTTTTAACTCCATTCCAAACTTTGATCGGACTCATAGAAAGACTCACCTTGAACATAATCTGCAGGATGAAACCGTAGATATTTAGAAGTTCGTTACTAGAATTTAAAAAGCAATTATAAACTATATTACAATAAAACTTTTTAAAAATATACATACATACATACATACATACATACATACATACACACACACACACACACACACATACATACATACATACAGTATATTTCAATTCAGCCACATGGGCTTTAATTTGGACTGGACTGATGTGCTAAAGGTTGGTTCTACCAGGTCAAAGACCAAAGTGGATTGCTGCCATTTTAAAACAAGTAGTCTAATTAAATTCATGGCTTGTCAAACAAATGCTTTTTGTTTTATTTACAGGGTTGTACAGTGTGAGTTAATATGTTGTAGGTGCAGTGAAAAAAAAACTGTGATGAATTATTTTGTACGTAGAACTCGTGCAACAGCTTTGGCTGCTACTTTTTCTTTTTCCCAAGGAAGCTGTGACAGGTGAAGCCACGTCACTATGCTACATAGCGGTTGTAGTCTATTGTGATAACCAAGTGTTACCTTATCATTGTAATTACTGTTAAACCCTACAAGACAATTTATGCTGTTGCTACATTTTGTCCCGTGCTACAAAACCAGTAACCTCTATAGCACCAGTGCTGTAAGCTAAAAAAGTTAACGTACACGTCTGTTTTATAAACCTTTATACTGCTGTTAATTCAGAATTATATTGTTATTCTGGGCTGCCACGGAAGTGCTACAGCTAGATGCTGCTGTTACTTTTTATGCTACAGATAAAGTACTTTATGGTCTATGTAAATAACTTTGTTAGACAAGATAATGTAAAGGTTTATAGAATTTACATGAACAAATATAAAATCTTTGCGATTGGATTTGTTTAAAGACTTGTTAGGACTAGTCTTAAGCTCGTCAGTCTGTCAATCTTTGTTTCTCCAAACCTACCGTATTTATTTGTGTACGATACGATCTCATGTATAATACGACGCCGCCCCCCCCCCCTTTTGAGCTTAAAAAGCATAAAAAATTAAATCCTCAAACTACCTCCAATTTCATACAGACTTCAAGATTTTTCAGCCTTTGCCGTCTTTATACATATCAGTAAAATGATCATTGGACTGTTCATTTTATTTTATCAACATATGTACTAAAAGGTATTTTGACAACAAATATATATCAGCTGTAGCAGCATCATATGAATTCTGGCATTTTACACATAGTCCACCAGGATGCACCAACATGAAAGTCAGAGACTTCACATGAGATTTGGGCCATCTTCTGGGGCAAAAGCAGATTACTTCCTACTCACGAGCGCCCCCTCTGGTGGGGAAACTTTTTTCAGGGATACAAACTGTTTTAGAACACCGGTAGACGGCAGCCATGTGTGTTTGTTGTTGTTCGAGCAGCGGCTCAGTCACACGCTAATGTCATTAGTTTGTTATCATTACTGAGCTGCAGGACTGCTTTTCCCCCCTTTTTTTCACRTCATGTCACCTGCCTGGATCTGTTACTATCTCACTCTGAAGCACGGAGGACTGTCACAGGGAGCTCGTTTCAACTGCCTTTTACAATGCGGTCTCATTTCCAGACTCAATAATTTTGCCGATATTTCAGTTAAAATACATTAGTAAAAATATTTATCCGGGTATAACACTATCCCCCAATTTTATGGATGATTTTATGGATTAAATGTTATGCATTATACTTGAATAAATACGGTAACTTCAAAAATGCTGAGCCCCTTTCCTCATTTTGTCTCTGGAAAAAGTGTAAACTTTAAACAAATGTGGAGATGATTATTATTCATATCTGGACACAATCTTTACGTAGACTACTTGAACGGTTTTATCCTAAATGGTAGGGGTGTAAGAAAATATCAATACACTGAAATATTGCGATATTTCATTTTCCGATACTGTATCGATATTCTAAAGCCCTGTATCGATTTTTTTTATTAAGGTTTAAAATGTCAACTTTCCTGCCAACCATTCATTTTTATGTTGTAGTTCATCCTCTGACCACTCCTTGGCAGCAGTGAGYCAGCCATTTGGCTCCTCTACCTCTTCGCCAGAGAGTAAGASAGCATTAGCATTGTAAGTAAACATTAGCTTCATGCTCCGATAGCTGAATCTGAGCGGAAAAGACCGACACCCTCTGCCTTCTAATTTCAGGTAAGGTTACAAACAGTTACTTATTTGTCAGAATGTCTGTATTTTAAGCCAAATTAAGTATCTTGTGCGCTCTTTTTTTCCAACTGTAGTCAGCTTTCACGTTACGCATATAGTGCATGTGTCTATCACCTCGAGCGAGCTCGGCACTCCCCTGTGACATAAAACTCTGTCTGTTGCTCTCAATGTCCGGCTGATGATCGCATCAAAGTCCGTTTACGGTACTTTATCCTGCTGTGTTCACTTCAAAAACGGTTTAACTCGTTTAGCTTCTCAATTTCTTAACTGGTTTTCTTCGGGACCTGCCCTGCTGTTCAACCCACAGTTCTGCAAATCAGGTTCTGGATGCAGGTCAGCTGATCCCAGAAACTCTGTGTGCAGCAGCTTCATATCATCTGTTTACTGAACTTTATGACAACATAAACGCTATTGTTAAGTGTTGGGTGACCATTTTGTAAATTAATATTAAAAACTAAGAGCTGCAAAAAATATATTTTCAAACTATTTATTGGCAAATTTAGTCTAATAAYTGAAAACATGGATGAAATATGAAACAAATAAAATAAAAACACATACAAAGCAGAACACAGCTAAATGCATCAAAAGTATGTCTATGTAATATTAGAATTTTCTGAGACAATGAATTTTGGTTTTTCGTTTTTTTTTCCAGTAAGAGGTTTTATTTAATAGAATTTTTGGACCAAAAATATTGCAATATATCGCCTTGTTTACRGTATCGAAATATATCGGGATATATCGTATCGTGACCCCTCTGTCATATGTATCGTATCGCCAAATTCTTGCCAATACACAGCCCTACTAAGTGGTAGGTCCAGAGATATTTGAGGTTTGAGGCTTGATGTCCTACAACACAGTCAGTCCCACAAGTCCTAAAGCAAGATTAAGTATATGTGAATGAATAAATGAGACAAAACCTAATATTTGGTCATTTGTTGACTTTAGCTGCAGTTGTATGGAAATAACAGAAATGAAAAAGTCACAAAAAAATGCAAACTGTCTTGAAAAGTTGCCTTGCAAACAAAACTTAAGATGTGCTTTTCTTTAATGCCAAATTATTTCTGGAATCTCTACAGCTGAGACTATTAAAGTGCAATTGACATTAGAGACCCGACCCTTCGTGTTCTCCTTCGAGCCGTGACATTTCAGAGAAAATCACAGGTTTTACCATCCACAATCAATGAGAAGTGACACCAATCGGTGTTCCTAGAACAAGGTTAAAAATACCACGAGCTCCACGAGCAAAAAACAAAGAACAGCTTGTAAAAATCCTGAAGGGAATAGGAAACTAGAATGTGTGATGGACAACGTTTACAAGGTGCACGACTCGGTCCGACATCAGGAGCTTTTTTTATTTACTCACGAGGGAATTTGTGACAGGCAGAACAACACACACACAAAACAAATGACCAAGCTTGTGCACGAACACAACGAAGGTCGGTTTAGAATTAACTGATGAGAATGTTTTTAGACTGTGAGAAGAAACCAAAGATAAGCTCTGGTTCAAGAAAGTGCTCTGTATTGTTTTGTAGTTTATCCAGTGAAAAGTGCACCTATAACCTTCAGCATCCATCCATCCATCCATCCATCCATCCATCCATCCAAGTCAGGTTGTTAAAAAGAATGTATGTATTTAAAAAATAACTACAAACTCTTTGCTGTCTGCAACCCAGTTTCTCTTATTTGTTGTAAAGAGATGTTCAAAAGATTCGATTGTTCATTAACGTCACATCTCTACTAACAATATTTACTTCAAATTTGTGATTCTTCAGACATTAACTACAGTTTTTCTTTCAACATTTTGACTTTTTCTTTTTAAATCGTAGTCTAATTTTAAACTTGAACCTGGGAAACAAAAATCCTGAGTGACCCTTACACAGTGATGCATATAATATCTATTACACTATATAATAATTATGTATAATAAAGTACTATATAATTAAAAAAGAATACTTCAAACTTTCCTGAAGCACTGCAGATGGGGGAAACCGTTGTTCAAACACATTTTAAAAGAGGCTGCTGTTCAGCTGCGTGGGCGTTCAGTGCTAAAGCCTTCAACAACGGTGCAACTTGGTAAAGCGTCTTTCAGAAGCGTTTGAGCTCTGGAGCCCCACGGTAAATTGGGGTCAATTTATTGCAGTTGTTGCATCATTCCGTGAGATTTGTTGAGCGGCAGAAAATAACACTGCCTCATCTTAGAAAACCACTTTGATTTATAAGAG